AGCCCACGCCAATCACTTGCTGAAGGCAATTGAAATGTCTTTTGTCCTAATCGGGCTCATTCCAGATGCAAACCAGAGGCGGTGGGTATTAACATTCATTTTCCTTCCGGCATCCCAGTTTCAGAACATAAATGTGTTAGATGGCTTGATTGAGCCAGACAATGAATTTTCATCTGATGCTGGTTGACGTGTAATTTTGCTCTTTTTTTTTTTTTCTTCCCTTGTTTGATTACATCCATAACTAGTTCAAGACATCATCTTGACCAGTATGGATTGATATGATCAAGTGACTGTTATACGAAGGGCGTTTCAAGGTCAACATTGAACATCATTTTCTGCATATTAGACAGGTGGATCCAAACAGAATATGCAGCATGCATGAGCTGGACATCTGAAGCTATTGACCTGAGTAAATATAGTGTTAAGAAGTTCATTAGTGTGTACAAACGGTTAGATTCAATGGACCAGTTTCACAGGTTCATTTGAGTCATCACTCAATAGTGTTCACGTTCGAACATCTGTGATAGTGGCACCAAAAGGAATCGCAATCTATAGTCTGTCACAGAGAGGAAAACATAAGTGAATCATATTTTGTTCAGAGCTTACTTATTTTTTGGTGACATAAAACTACGGTCTGAAAAGTTTTAAAATATTACATACATTTATATAATTTAAAAAGGATTCTAACACTTTAATGTTTTTACAGTCCCCTGAAGTATTCATTATTTTCTGGCCTAGAAACAAACAAAAACCAAAAAACGAAAGCCATGTTTAGGATATAATATCCCAAGAAGTATGATTGCTGGCCTTGTAGGAGTTAGTAGATACATAGACAAACTTGTTCCCTTCAAGTTCAAATGATTCAGGGTCTCCTCAGTGTACACATATTTTCCTAATTTCCCCTAAAGTTCGGAAAAAAGAGATGTGGGTGGTTTAAGGAACTTAATTAGATACATTAAAAGTCCAAATGTGTTTTATTCCTAAAACATAAACTTTGACTGACTTTGTCAATTTTATATAAAAATGTACAGTATACTTGTGACCATGCTATTATCTGCAATAAATAATAGAGATCAATGTGTCAGTTAGAATAAATGAATGAACGAACAAACAAACAAAAAACAAGTGATCAATGGGTTTGAAGGAATGAGTGAACGCACGCACACACGAACTTGAGGATAAATAAATAAATAAATAAATAAATAAATAAATACAAATGTTTTAGGTCACCAAAATAATAGTGATCAATGTTTTTTGAGTGAGTAAGTGAGTGGATGAGTGAGTGAGTGAGTGAGTGAATGAAAAATGAATGAGTGAGTGAGTGTGACTGAGTGAGTGAGAGCGTGAGTGAGTGAGTGAAAGAATGATAGAATGAGTGAGTGAGTGAGTGAGTGAATGAGAGTGAATTAATGAAAGAATGAAAGAATGAGTGTGAGTGAGTGAGTGACTGAATGAGTGAGTGAGTGAGTGAGTGAATGAAAGAATGAGTGAGTGAGTGAGTGAGTGAGTGAGTGACTGAATGATTGAGTGAGTGAGTAAGTGAGTGAGTGAGTGAATGAAAAATGAATGAGTGAGTGAGTGTGATTGAGTGACTGAGAGCGTGAGTGAGTGAGTGAGTGAAAGAATGATAGAATGAGTGAGTGAGTGACTGAATGATTGAGTGAGTGAGTGAGTGAGTGAATGAATGAATGGAGCGAGTCAGTGAGTGAGTGAGTGAATGAATGAAAAATGAATGAGTGAGTGAGTGTGATTGAGTGAGTGAGAGCGTGAGTGAGTGAGTGAGTGAGTGAAAGAATGATAGAATGAGTGAGTGAGTGAGTGAATGAGAGTGAATTAATGAAAGAATGAGTGTGAGTGAGTGAGTGAGTGACTGAATGATTGAGTGAGTGAGTGAGTGAATGAATGAATGGAGCGAGTCAGTGAGTGAGTGAGTGAATGAAAAATGAATGAGTGAGTGAGTGTGATTGAGTGAGTGAGAGCGTGAGTGAGTGAGTGAGTGAGTGAGTGACTGAATGATTGAGTGAGTGAGTGAGTGAGTGAATGAAAGAATGAGTGAGTGTGAGTGAGTGAGTGAGTGAGTGACTGAATGATTGAGTGAGTGAGTAAGTGAGTGAGAGAGAGTGAATAAGTGAGTGAGTGAGTGAGTTTGTGTGTGTGTGTGTGTGTGCGTTAGTGAATGAATGAATGTATAAATAACTAAATAAATCAACGAACGAACACATGAATATGTTACGTCACCAAAACTAATAAAGATCAGTGTGTTGTTTTGAATGAATGAATGAAGGAATGAACAAACAAGCAAACAATGGGAGATTAAGATTTCTCTATGTTATCATCCGCCTAACAGCTTAACTCTTAAGCAGTTTTTGCTTTGGAAACTGGTTCAAGCAAATCACTAAAATAAGCCTGTTCAAAATAACAGTTGGTGTAGCATGTAACAAATGTTAGATGCAACATAAATAGCAATGTACGACATCTGTGTCACAAAAGACCCATGTCTTTGAGGTCTGAATTTGACATAATGCACCCACTGATCTTGCATGTCAACACCTCCACACTCAGAATCTCTCCACTCTCTCACTGCTATTGATTTCCTTCAGCACCTTGTCATCCTCATCTCTGTAGGACACTTCTCAGGGAGCTGTAGGGGGGCATTTGTCTTATTCATGAGAAGGACCCCACATTACAGAGAACAACCTCTCTTTGGGGCCTCGTTTCCGACCTACAGAAAATGCTGACCCATCCAAAAAGTTGGTAACATATGCTTCTCCTCATCCTCCTCTCCAGTGTACCTGCTGCCTGAGTCTGTTTCTTCAACCCATTGCCCTGGTTCCTCTCTGATTTCCCAGGACTTGGGTCTGGACATCTGCTAACAGATTCCCAAGCCTCTATAATACATCTGTGTATCACACACATTAGACTTTGGTTACAGTAGCTCTAGCTACTCATGGTCAGCTTCAGCAGAAACCAAATCTACACCATTACTTGGACAAATAGCATGGATGACAGTGTCCAGGTCTTGTACTTCCAGAGCCCAAATTAAGCAACCGCTAAACTAACTGACCTGTAAAAAATCTGAACAGTCTTTAAATGTCAACATGAAATCAATATTGACCCCATTTACACTCTTTATACATTGCTAGTCTTACTGTAAAAGATTCTCACATAAGTCTGAACTAGCGAGTTTATGTATGTTGGTGCAGTGCCAGTGGTTGTTTTGTAGGCAAACATCAGTACCTTGAATTTGATGCAAGCGGCTATTAGCAGCAGGTGCAAAATGATGAAGAGAGGTGTGATGTGGGCTTTCTTCAGCTCGCTGAAGACCACTCTCGCTGCTACATTCTGGATTGATAGTACATTGATAGCACAGGCCCGCCAAGAGAGCATTACAATAGCCCAGTCCGGAGAGAACAAGAGCTTGGACAAGAAGTTATGCGGCCTGCTCTGATAGGAAGGATCTAATCTTCCTAATGTTGTATAGGGCAAATTTTTGCATTTACCTATCATAGTTCTCTCACAACAATCCTCTCCGATTCTCCTCTGTCCTTTCTTGCCATCTTTCCATCTTTATCCTTGAGGAATGAAAATTTTATGGTTTCAGCTGTTGCCAGCTCACACCCCAGCTGCCGCCCCGGTGTCGCACAAGCCATCCTTAATCATTAAACAACCACAGCTTCCATTTAGTCTCATTTTGCATGTCTTTGATGTGAGTGAAGGTTCAGTTTAGGTGCCAGCACACATCTGCACTTGGATCTGCACGCACCTTCAAACACAGGGCCAGGAGTCTGATGGCGATGTGCCAGCAATTTACTTTCTTCTTGCTATTTTTTCATTAGGAAAAACCTAGTCCCACAGCAGGATTCTAGTGGACGGGTAAATGGATCAAACTGAAAATCCTGGAAGAGAATAGCAGCTTACTGTTTTGTAAACGTTAACAAAAATAAAAGTTATGGTAAAATATTTTCTGCTAAATACAATGTTACTGCAGTTTTTACTGCAAACAAACTGTGGTGTTAGCATCATTGTCATCAACACAAGCAATTATATGATGCATGATATATTTTTAATTTGAATTTTTTTTATGGTTTAAAAGTCGATACAAATATTTTGACAGACATTAGTTACAATACACTGAAAAATGTTGGTATACAAACAATTTTCCCTAAGAAATTGCTAGTAAATTTCACAAACATTCACAAAACATCAAATAACACTAAATGAAATATGAAATTTTGAAGTAAAAAAAGTTTAAATATAATATTCATATTTTATTCTATTTAAGCTTTATTTTAATTAACAACTATTTCAAGTTAGTTTAGGTTAACAACTAACTAAAATAGCACTGATCCTATATTATTAGGATGATGATGATTTATTTATTTAACTTCCAAACAATAACATAATGATTCCATATTTAATGCAATTAATAATTGCCATGCACCAGAGTGTTAAATAGAAAATTAAAAAGATAAATAACATAGCATTTTTTAGTCTTTGTTAATTTTAATAAGAGGTTCATCCAGAAATGTCAGTTTGATCCATTTGCCCCTTCACCAGAGCTGCTGTACATAATATAAACAAGCAAACAAAAAAGTTATCTTGGCATTTTAGGCTGTGTGTTATTCATTTTTTTTGTGTAATGAACTGTTGTATAAGAGCACTGAATATCAGTCATGACGTCCCACAGATAATGCTTAAATAAAGGTCTTCCTGAGGAACATTGACACATCTCTTCATTTATTCAGATCTCTTTTTAAAGTTTAAAGTTGCACTACCTCATGGGGTTACAGCTCAGTCTACCCAGCAGGCAATTATGAAAAATCTCTGTTTTACATGTTTTCTGTTTCTATGCCGCTCTCCAATAGCAGGACTCGGCTGAAGATAAAACCACAAGCTATGGTAAATGGGCCAAGGATAAAGACAGAGATAAACTCTATTTGATGACGAAAGCTCCAGATTCCTGCGGAGTCTCCTCATCTTCAGCAGGTGGGCTATTTTTGACTCGGCCCATACTGTTCAAGCTATAAAACACTTCTACAGAAAAAAAGAGCACACAGTGAGGCATAAAGCGAATAAGTGGATAAACAGATGGGTGACTGGATATTCTGATTAACCATTACTCTTTTGTTAGTGTTAATCCACAGCATGCGTTTTATGGTTGGCATTAAAGGTCAGTATGACGTCATTTGGTTGACACCTTTATCCAGAGTAGCTTACAATGCATTCAAGGCAATTTTCCATGTCCATTTTATCAGTTCTTGAGATCCCTGGAAATCAAACCAATAGCTTTGCAGTTGCTAGCAGCTTGCTTTACTGTTACAGTGTTCATAAACAAGTACAGTCAAAAGTTCGGGGTGGGTAAGATTTTGTAATGGTTTTGAAAATGGAAAAGTGGATATATAAGGCATATAAGGTTTCTGAGCATCTGTTTCATCCATAGATGCTGTTTCATCCACAGATACATGTATATCAAATGTTGTAGGAGATGGAAGGTTAATTACTGAGGGAGCACCAGTTCTCTCAGAAAGATTGACGTGACCACATTTTGTGCTCACGGCACAAACAAACGCTCAGCTCAAAGACAAACGTCTCTCGCAAGTTTGGTGAAATGAGTTCTAGCAGTTCACAACACACACACACACACACACACACACACACACACAGACAGTGTTTTAAAACACAATTTAATCAAGACGACTTTGCCTTGATTAAACTCTCTCAGAAGCTGCTGAGCCAGTCCGGTCTCTCCCCAGTTCATTTTCCTCTGTAGCATATGCTGGAAGGCTTGCTTTCCGGTTTGCTGTCTGTCTGCCCCCCAAACTTCCCCATCTTTCAATTCCTCCCTCTCTCTTTCATTCTCACACTACCAGTCATGGAGATGTGAGCCTGTCATTTGCACTTACTCCTTTAGAAAATGACAAAAACAGACATTTGCCACAGCCATTGGGTATCTCTGGCAGTCTGGAACATAATAAGGAAACAATAACTGTTTTCCTTTGTGAACTTCCAGCTGCCAGTATAGAAGTTTCAGAAATAGATGCATAGAACTGTTACGTGAAAAGCAGCAGACAGGAAAAAAAGTCAATTTCATGCTTTTTAGAGTCCTAAACAAATTAGGCACATATACATACAATAGCTATATAGCCAGATAGAATGAATTAATACATATACACACACACACACACACACACACACATATATATATATATATATATATATATATATATATATATATATATATATATTTGTTATACTAATTACATTATAATTATACAAATATTATAATTATAATACAATACAATTATAATTAATTTATAAAAAAAAAAAGGATTGGCAGTCAATAAAGAGTTACCTTTTCAGCCAGAGAGAAAAGGGAAAAAAAGGTTAAACAGGTAATTTTATGCCTTTAAGAGCCCTACAAAACCAAGGCACTGGTAAAACAACTACTACAATATGGTAAAAAAAAGATGATATACTTATAAATTATTGTATAAATTATATAACATGTATTTAATAATAATAATAATAATAATAATAAAGAATTATATTTCATTTATATATAATATTAATTAGGTGCTTGCAAAATTATATAACACAATTATATAATATATATTGATAATAATAAAGGAAAGGAAAGGAAAGGAAATTATTATTATTATTATTATTATTGATGTTTTTGTTGTTGTATTGCATCATTGGAAAAACAAACACACAAAAAAAATCTGAATAACTGGATTTTCGAACGGCCATCAATGTAGAGGTTTCTTTTTTTTTTGCAGACAGATGATGTAGTTAAAACATTGACCAGCAAGGGCTAACTGGGTCAAGGTAACCAACTAAACCGGGGCTGTCCAAACTCGGTCCTGGAGGGTCGGTGTCCTGCAGAGTTTAGCTCCGATGAGTTTGGACAGCCCTGAACTAAACCTTGACCACTTGTTCTTCCAGAAGAGCCGGCCTACCAATGGGGGGGGGGAGCAAAGTACGGTTCCCATAGTTTCCCATTCAATTCAACGTGAAAGAATAAAAATACAATAATAATAATATTAATAATAATAATAATAATAAAGAATTATATTTCATTTATATATAATATTAATTAGGTGCTTCCAAAATTATATAACACAATTATATAATATATATTGATAATAATAAAGGAAAGGAAAGGAAAGGAAATTATTATTATTATTATTATTATTGATGTTTTTGTTGTTGTATTGCATCATTGGAAAAACAAACACACAAAAAAAATCTGAATAACTGGATTTTCGAACGGCCATCAATGTAGAGGTTTCTTTTTTTTGTTTTGCAGACAGATGATGTAGTTAAAACATTGACCAGCAAGGGCTAACTGGGTCAAGGTAACCAACTAAACCGGGGCTGTCCAAACTCGGTCCTGGAGGGTCGGTGTCCTGCAGAGTTTAGCTCCGATGAGTTTGGACAGCCCTGAACTAAACCTTGACCACTTGTTCTTCCAGAAGAGCCGGCCTACCAATGGGGGGGGGGAGCAAAGTACGGTTCCCATAGTTTCCCATTCAATTCAACGTGAAAGAATAAAGAAATAAAGAAATATCCAATAGACTTAGATTTGCCTATTTGAAATGTTTTTCACTTCAAACAAAGCAAAAAATCTAGGAGATTTGTATTTATAAATTTTTTTGCCACCAATGTAATAAAACCAACAAAGGACGGTCACTGCAGTGAATGCAAGCAGTTCAGGGACAAGCTGACAGGAGACTGTAGCAGACACATAGGAATTAGAATCAAACTTCCAAACACTTTGTGGCATTCTAGACCATCTGAAGGCTGTTCCAACCAAAGTAACCTCTGAAGGTAGAAACACGGGGAGGTCATGGGTTTGATTCCCATGAAGCACACATATTGTAAAGCGTACTTTGAATACACTGCAAGGCGCTATAGATAAAAGTGTCAGTCAAATGAATAAATGTACATACAAATGCAAGTCACTTCAGAGAAAAGCATCTGTTAAATGACTACTCACCAAGAATAATAATTGCAAAACAATAACTAACACAATAAGGATAAGTGGCCCGTCTCCAAATGAATCTCGTGTCTAACTGTCCATTTCATTCCAAGCACACATGGATTTATTTATCGTGTCACCTTAATGATGCTCTTCTAATTGAGACACCTGCTTGCTGTCAGACCCGAATCTACAGACAGAGTGCTTTTCATTTTCATGGTGCTTGATCTCAGAAACCTTTCATGTCTGGAGAAACAAGTCTCTTTTGACTCCGCCGCCACAATTCCCTGGACAAAGACCTTTCAAGTTTTAAAGTGTTGCCTTTCAAATAATAGTTTTTTTTTTTCAAAAGCCATCAGTCGTTATCGAATAAAATCCAGCTGATTTGCTGAGAGAGGAAGGTGCACTTTGATTTACCTGAACAGGTCAGTCGGTCGGTCGGACGGTCTGTAACTCTCTATCCAAGATCAAAAGATTTTATTTTTATTTTTTGATGTATGTGTATTTTTCATTCAATACTGTATTTTTGTTAGAAAATCAATTACAGACTGTTTATCTCTAAAACTGGTGATGCTGCACCAAATACTTTTTTTTTTGGAGAAACTATACATAATTAAAATCTTTCCACTTAACTAATTAAAAGGCTGTGAGCACACAGATGCACTCATCAGCAGCATGAAATTGCTTATTATTCACATGTAAACCGCTCTTAATATCAAGACAATATTTTTTCCATACTTGCCAAGCCAATTACCATTGACACTAATGACACAGGAACGCATGGTGTTGTGCCGTGGTTTTATTTAAAAAAAAATTTTTAATGATAATATTAAGCTTCTTAGTTGAGTAAACATTGTCTATCTGCAGTATTGTTGCTAATGGACACAAATCTGAGCTCTCAGAGGATTTCTGATCGAGTTATCCAATGTATAAAAGACATAAATTCCCTCAAATTATACCTTAATCTGCTTAAAAAGCAGGGATAACTTTACAAACATTTTAATACAAAATCAAGCATAGCGTTAGTTCTGGCAGGTCACATTAGTCAAGCTCGCATTAGCTGACTCTCAGCTGATCCCTATCTACCTATAGGAATACGACACCTATCTAAGCATTCATATATAAGGTCTCTCAGTATTATCAGCAGTTTTCGCATTGCTCAATAGCTAATTACCCTTCTCCATCCCCAGCTCCTCCTCTGTCAGTCAGGATTCAGCCTTCTGATTATCCTTTGAATCAGACTAATTCTAAAATGTGTACATAAAATTATTGAACTTTAACGATATCTGCAATACATTTATGTTGGTTCTGTTCTGTTTACCCTGGGGGGGTTATCGCTGCTCTCCCTGCTCTTATCCACGCTAGGCTGCATGGATGCACAGGGAGTTCTTGCCCAGAACAGAACCATACAGCCAATCCAAACTGTATGATAATTGTCAATCATCTTTGACGATAGTGGTCCTGACAGAAGTACCAGAACTTTAACAGAGTGTCATTTAAAAGGTGTCGATGTTAACCATGCATTTTGTAAAACATTGAGAAAAAAAAAATCCCCGTCACTTTCAGGAGCGCAACAATAAAAAAAATAAAAAGATCACACTGGGGATATAAACACACAAATTTCTTATAAAGCATATTATGTTTAGCCTGATGTTTGATGGATTTTCCTGCTAAACAGATTTATTTTCATGCACTACATCCTCATAGATGTAGTCGTAAACTGTGAGTTTGACCTCCCTGACTCGTGTTTTGCATTTGGACGTGTTTTGTATTAATACACAGACTTTCTCAGGAAAGGAAGGCCAAACGTGAATCATGATATTTCAAAGTTGCTGTTGCAAACAGAAAATAATTTGTGGGAAATGGTAATGTACATTGGTGCAAATAAATGTTGCCTCTCCCTGTGCTGCTGTAAGAAATTTATGTGTGATCGGCTGTGTTTCCAGTTTGTTGAGGTGATAATGTAAATTTCTATATGATTTTGAACATTATAAGAGGAAAATAACTTGTATAAATGTTAATAAAGTGCATTGTGTAATCTCAGACTTAATCTCAGATTTGATTTGATGGGATGGGGGGAAAGATCAGCTAAGACAATTTTGAGACCCAGAAAAAGGGTAACTCTTAATAATAACTTTCATTAATAAATCATTAATAAACATTATATAATGCTTAATGGATCATTAGTTAATATATATATAGTAATGTACATTGGTGCAAATAAATGTTGCCTCTCCCTGTGCTGCTGTAAGAAATTTATGTGTGATCGGCTGTGTTTCCAGTTTGTTGAGGTGATAATGTAAATTTCTATATGATTTTGAACATTATAAGAGGAAAATAACTTGTATAAATGTTAATAAAGTGCATTGTGTAATCTCAGATTTGATTTGATGGGATGGGGGGAAAAATCAGCTAAGACAATTTTGAGACCCAGAAAAAGGGTAACTCTTAATATATATATATATATATATATATATATTCATAGAGTTAGAAACGTGAGATAATGTACTTTTCAATGTTTGCTAATAAACTTATTATACATTAGATAATGTTCAAACAAATCATTATTTCATGTATGTTAAATTGTCATTAAACTTTCAGTTCCATATGATGAAGCACTTATTGAAAATCTACAAATGATTTTAACAGCTGTTATAAAATGATTAAAAGCTTGTGTTAATGCACAACACTTTTGCTGCTGTTGAGGTGGGATACGGGTAAGGCTAGGAACAGGTTTGGTGGTATGGGTAGGTTTAAGGGTTGGTTAAGAGGGTCAACAGTGTACAGGGGTCAATTTGATTATTATAAGGGGACACGATTCAATCTGTTTATATTACATTGTTTTGAAAAATTAACAAGTATGTTCTTTTAAAACATGATTTGTTTTCCCATTTACTTATGATTCAAGGACTATCCTGTTTAATGATACACTGAAGAGTAGTATACTAATGCGAGTGTTGAGGCAATAAAAATATTTTTTGCACCAAAATTTTAATCGGTTATGTCTTGAGCAAGCATTTAGCTAAACGTACACTGAAAAAAATTAATCTGGGTGGATGTAAATGTTACATAATTAAATCTGTGATATTAACAATAAAATGTTAAGTTTTTGTCTTTACATTCATATATCTAGTTTTGAATTAATCTGCATTTGTTCAAAATACAAGACAATGTGCATTTTTTTTCCTTTACAAAATGTATCTAAGTAATCCCAACCAATCTTCTTAGGTACACACACACACAACAAACAATAACCTTGTTTCATTTACTCAATATAAAATAATTACCCTACTTCCCTTCGTGTTTCGTTGGTCTGGTCTGGAAACCCGCATTCCAAATGAAGAGGAACACGCGGACTGAACAAGGTAAGAATAAAGTTACCAAAGTAAGGTTAGATGTTTGGTACATTACCATAGTCTTTAATTTTCGAAATGTTGTACAAAAAGGCTTTACATTTAATTTGAAGATAACGTTGTTGTACGTGGATTTACTTTTAATTGTAAAGTGACGATTGTTCGTGTAATTTGAAGCTAACGTTAGCATGCGGCTATGAAATAAGGCATGTAGTGTAAAAGCTAAGCACGTGGATTTTTAGAGTAGGTTAAAGGATAGCATCGTTTTTTTTCAAACTGGACCCCATTTCCCTATGTTTTTGTGTTTAAAAACTGATGGGAACAGCAATCTTTTAAATTGTTCCAACATTAAGCAAGACCGCTGCCGTCTTAATGGGCAATTGCGCACCTTCAATTTACGTCGTCAAAACTTGCTTGTTTTGCCACTGACTAGTGTCGCAAGCGTGAGGTATTGCTTTCCCGCTGCAGTCACACCACTCTCTGCGTCTGCTCTGTTCAGCGAGCAGCACCTTCCGTTGACGGGTAAGCAGTTGACATAGTGGTGAATGAGCTGCACATGTGAACGCAATGTTGCCATGGAACAGTCACTTATCTGATTCTCCTTTGTTTTATATTTAAATAATTTATTTGGTCCATTTTGATTTCTATTAATCTCGTGCACTTATCACTTATATTGCTCACTATCACAGGGCTTTAGTTAATTCCATTTTCCGAACTCTTTGAGCACGGATTAGGAGACGTGATGGCGTCATGAATATGCTAAATGACGCATGATGCCATCGAGCGACATTTAGTGACTTTTTGGACAGGCTTGAGATGAGTCCTGTACACTTCCTCGTTCTACACGTGAAACGAAAGTAATAAACACACGATTACGATAGTATATGGTTTGTGTGATTTTTGTGCGATTTTCATATCAATAATGGAATAATATTACAAGTGCAAATCAGGTGCATATTAGACTGCATATAAAAGGATAATGTATTTCAACAACATTATATGACTAAAATCCACATTTGATCGCGATCGTAAGTTAATACAAACACTCGATGGTGGTTTAAAGTGAGTTTTAAAGTAAAAGCATTATCATCTTTTAAATTGTGTTACCTTAATGCTAATTGTAGTTTTAATGCACTTCACGCCAGGAGCTATTCTATTCCACAAACTAATTTGCTAAAAAATACCTAGAATTGGCCTTTTTTAAATTATATATGTATTTTTTTAAAGTTGTAATTATTTAAAAAAGCGAAGGAAAAAATGTAGTGTTGATTGGCAAGCCATAATGCCAGAATAAAGCCCTAATAATGCGAATTTCAGAGCAGTTTCTGGTTAAACAAAAAGGATTTTACACTTTAACAGGTCTATCTCTGTAGAGATCCTTTCCATAATGTTGTCGGACACTTATAATAACAATCTGAACCTGTCAATTGCAAAAACAGCACTTTTAGTGCACTGTAATTGATGATGCACATTTGCCCTACACTGTAAAAAAAAATTATACATGTAGGCTACATTCAACAAACTAACCAGCTACTGTATAAAAAATAAAGTAAGAAATGTACAGAAGCACACAGGAGGCTGGATAAAGAGTGCAAATTACAATGGGATGTGCAATGTGTGCATATTGAGAGCGTGTAAATGTGCAATCAGATGTAGGTTCTCCTTGCAGAGAGTCATATAGAATTATTGCAGGTTGGAATGGCTGGCAGGAATAGGTAGGATTGACTTCCTGTATCGGTCCTTATTACAGCAGAGTTAGAGGAGCCTCCGACTGAAGACACTCTGCTGTCTGATCAGCAGGTCAACCACCTGCAGTGGTTGTGGAGAGACGAAAATGTAAAACTATGTTTAATTATAGTTATAGTTAAATTATTTGCTATAGTTTTGTTTTCTTGCATTGGTCAGTTACTAACCATAACACTATGCTCTTACCAGGTGATTCTCTTGACAAGTACACTGGATAAAAGGTATGTAACTTTCAATAAATTGGTTTATTGTAGTGAGGAAAGTGGGGGTAAAATTAATTAATTTGTAATGTGAATACATCATATGTTCCTGGCTGCTCAGAGTCTGCCATTACAATAGTT